CAGTTCGATAATTTTTTTCATCTGCAATATCTAATCTGCTATAATGCCATCTAGTATATTTTTTCATCTTAGACATTGTCATTTTCATCCCTACAAGTTCAATTTAGGTGTTTTTTGTATCTTCTGTGTTCCTACTTTTTGAATATATGAAATAAAATTTTAATAACTCTTTATCCTAATTGGCTAGTTTTACTTAGTATCTATGTCAGTTCAGGGTCAATTTCGAGTGATTCTTCTCCTCATTATAAGTCATGTTTTCGTGAAACTTGGCATGCTTAGGTTTTAATTTACTTTTTAAAAAAATTATTATTTTTTAAATTGTGGTAAACAACGTAAAATTTACCGTCTTAACCATTTTTAAGTGTATTGTTCAGTGGTAATAAATACGTTCATAATGTTGTAGAACCATCACTACCACTTATCTCTGTAACTGCTTTCATCTTGTAAAACTGAAAGTCTGTAACCATTAAACAATACTATTCCATTCCCCCACTCTCTGCAGCCCCTCATAACCACCATTCTGTTTTCTGTCTCTATGATTTTAACTCCTTAACTACTTCATGTAAGTGGAATCATACAGTATTTGTCTTGTAACTAGCTTACTTCACTTACAGTATTGTCCTCATGGTTCATCCATGTTGTAGTGTATGTCAGAATTTCATTGTATATATAGGCCGGGTGCGGTGGCTCACGCCTGTAATCCCAGCACTTTGGGAGGCCGAGGTGGGCGGATCACGAGGTCAGGAGATCGAGACCATCCTGGCTAACACAGTGAAACCCCATCTCTACTAAAAATACAAAAAATTAGCCGGGCATGGTGGGTGCCTGTGGTCCCAGCTACTTGGGAGGCTGAGGCAGGAGAATGGCGTGAACCCAGAAGGCAGAGCTTGCAGTGAGCCGAGATTGTGCCACTGCGCTCCAGCCTGGGTGAGAGCGAGACTCCGTCTCAAAAAAAAAAAAAAAAATTTCATCGTATATATAGACCACATTTTCCTTATCCATCCATTTGTTGGACACTCGGGTTGCTTCCATGGTTTTGCTATTGTGAATAATGCTTCTATGAAGATGAGTGTACAGATATCTCATGACAACCTCCACCTCCCGGGTTCAAGCAATTCTTCTGCCTCAGCCTTCCTGAGTAGCTGGGATTTTAGGCATGTGCCACCATGCCTGGCTAATTTTGTATTTTTAGTAGAGACGGGTTTTCTCCCTGTTGGTCAGGCTGGTCTCGAACTCCCCTCAGGTGATTCGCCCACCTCGGCCTCCCAAAGTGCTGGGATTACAGGTGTGAGTCACCGTGCCCAGTCACAAATATCTCTTTAAGACTCTACTTTGAATTTTGTGGGGTATAGTTCCAGAAATAGAATTACTGTATCATGTGATAATTCTATTTTTAAATTTTGAAGAACTACCATACTGTTTTCCACAGCAGCTGTACTGTTTTGCATTCCCACCAATAGTGTCCAAGGGTTTCAATTTCTCCACACCCTCACCGCTTGTTATTTTCTGTTTTTTTTTTTTTAATAGTAGCCATTCTAATGGGTGTGAGATAGCATCTTGTAGTTTTTATTTGCATTTCTCTAATGATAAGTGGTGTTGAGTATATTTTTATGGGTTTATAGGCCATTTGTATATCTTCTTCGGAGAAATATCTATTCAATTCCTTTGTCTATTTTTAAATTGGGTTGTTTGTTTTTTGTTGTTGTATTTTAGGAGTTCTCTATATATTCTGGATATTAGTCCCTTACCAGATATATGACTTGCAAATATTTTCTCCCATCCTGCTTGGTAGTTTTTGATTGAATGCCAGACTTTGTGAATTTTACCTTCTTGGTTGCTGAATATTTTTGTTTTTCTATGAATATTCTTGAACTTTGTTCTGTGATGCAGTTAACTTACTTTTAAACATTTTGATCACTGTGGGTCTTGCTTTTTATGATTTATTAGGAGGTTCCAGAGCAGTGGTCAGGCTAGGGCTAATTATTCTCTACTACTGAAACAAGACATTCCTGAGGACTCTACCCAGTGCCTTGTGAATGAAAGGTTTTTTTATGCTGGGTGATGAGAACAAGCAGCCCTCTGTGAGCACTGCGCACTTTTCTCTGACTCTTTAGATGGTTCTTTTCCTGCCCTCAGGTATCTTCCTTGTGTTCATTTTGTTATCATTACTCTGCTGAATGGAGTGGGACTCTGCAGATCGCTGGACTCGCTTTATTTGCAAGTTCTCTTCTCCCTGGTGTTCTGTCCTGTGAGTTACCTTCGTTTCTGTGGACTGTTCACCTCATCTCCTACTCTGTTCAGTCTACTGCGCTCTCTTTCAGGTCTGTATCCCTATGCTACCGCCTGGAAACTTTTTCAAGGCAGTAGCTCACTTTGTTTTCCATCTAGTAAAGGACACTAAGAGTCAGTGTCCTTTATTGCTTGTGGCCAGTATCTTGAGATTGTTTTTTCATATTTATTTGGATTTTTCAGTTGTTTCAGGCAGATGTTTAAATCTGTTTTTACTCCACCATGGCCAGAAGCAGGAGTGCTCATCAATCCTCAATTTAAAAATGAGAAATTGGCCGGGCACAGTGGCTCACGCCTGTAATCCCAACACTTTGGGAGGCCAAGGTGGGCAGATCACCTGAGGTCAGGAGTTCGAGACCAGCCTGGCCAACATAGCGAAACCCCATCTCTACTAAAAATATAAAAATTAGCCGGTCATGGTGGTGGCTGCCTGTAATCCCAGCTACTCGGAGGCTGAGGCTGGAGAATCACTTGAATCCAGGAGGTGGAGGTTGCAGTGAGCCAAGATCCTGCCATTGCACTCCAGCCTGAGCGACAGAACAAGACTCCATCTCAAAAAAAAAAAGAAAAAGAGAAATTTATCTTTCATATTTACTCACATTTCTCATTCTGTTCTTTTTTTACATTTATTGTCCTATAGGTGTGCTGGCAATGACTTTTCACTCTGGTGTTGTTTACCTAACAAAGTTTTTTATTTTGCTTTGATATTTTGAATGATAAATTTTTGGTTGGCTATTGAAGTCTAAGTGGACACTTTTTTTCTGTTGAATCTTTGGATTTATAATTTTTATCACATTTTACAAAAATTTTGGCCATTATTTCTTCAAATACCTTTTTTATACCCTCTCTACTCTCTGCTTCTTCTATAACTTCAGTTATAAGCATGTTAGACTTAACATTATCCCACAGGTCCCAAAACTCCTCTATTGGCTTTTTTCCCCAGTTTGATTTTTTCTTCTGTACTTTGATTTGGATGGTTTCTATTTCTTTTTGTGTGTGTGATTAGAGACAGGGTCTCCCTATGTTGCCCAGGTTGGTTTTGAACTCCTCGCCTGAAGTGATCCTCCCACTTCAACCTCCCAAAGTGCTAGGATTACAGGTGTGAACCAGCATGCCCTGCCATAGATGCTTTTTATTTCTCTGTTGTTTAGTCCACTGATTGTTTTTTGGGAAGCATCTCATCTGCTGTTAATCTCATCCAATATATTTTGCTTTTCAGATATTTAGCTTTTTTTTATTTCTATAAGTTACATTTAGGTCTTTCTTATATCTTCATTTTCTCCCTTCATGTTTATGTCTGCATTTCATCTGGAATTATATTTATAATAGCTGCTTTAAGTCCTTGTCCGCTAATTATATTATCTCTGTTATTTTTTAGTCCATTTCTATGGATTGATTTTTCTCCTGGTTATGAATCATATTTTTCTGCCCCTTTGTATGCCTGGTAATTTTTTTATTGGATGCTGGTCCTTGTGAAATGTAAATTGGTGATTGCTAGGTTTTGTTATTTTTCTCTAAAGAGTCTTGTACTTTGTTCTTGCATGCAGTTACTTGCAGATCATTTGCTCCTCTTAAAGCTTGTTTATGTGTTACTTTATTTTATTATTTTTTTGTGTGAGATGGAGTCTCGCTCTGTTGCCCAGGCTAGACTGCAGTGACACAATTTCCACTCACTGCAACCTCCGCCTCCCAGGTTCAAGCAATTCTCCTGCCTCAGCTTCCCAAGTAGCTGGAATTACAGGCACATGACACCACGCCCAGCTAATTTTTCTGTTTTTTTTAGTAGAGACAGGGTTTCTCCATGTTGACCAGGATGGTCTCGAACTCCTGACCTCAGGTGATCCGCCTGTCTCAGCCTCTCAAAGTGCTGGGATTATAGGCGTGAGCCACTGTGCCCAGCCATTTTTGGTTTGTTTGTTTTGAGATGGCGTCTCATTCTGTCTCCCAGGCTGGGGTGCAGTGGTGCGATCTCAGCTCACTGTAACCTCTGCCTCCTGGGTTTAAGTGATTTTTGTGCCTCAGCCTCCCAAGTAGCTGGGATTACAGGTGTGCACCACCACACCTGGCTAATTTTTGTATGTTTAGTAGAGACGGGCTTTCTCCATGTTGGCCAGGCTGGTCTTAAACTCCTGACCTCTCAGGTATGAGCCACCATACCCAGCCCTGTTTATTTGTTTTGTTAGAGTGGCGTCTTATCAGACTTTACCCTATGGATCATACATAATTTAGCCCTACTACTATCAAATACTTTGCTTATCATGAGGTCTCTTAAGTCTGGCTAGTGGAAATGTGAACTACTCCTATCCCTGTGTGACTTTGGGATTTGTTCATGTTCTACTTTCTGGTAGTTCCTTTTCTAGCCTCCTGGAGTTTCATCCTTGTCATTACTCAGCCAGAGATTTGGGGTGCAGGTCATGTGTGCTCTGTCTTTGAGTATGGAACTTTGTCCTTTCCAGCACTCCGTTCTACAGAGTTTTGCTGCTTGACCACCCTGAACTGTGATCTCTGTTTCAACAGAACTACTACTTTCTCTCTGGCTTCCTCTTACCTTCATTGCAGTCTGTAAACTGCCCTCATTTGAATACTTTCTCTCAGGGAAATACTTTTCTCTCACCTTCCTGAATTGCCTGTTGTCCAGGGCCTAAAAACCATTATCTTAACCATTTACTATACGTATTACATTAATTTTTATATCTTCTTTTTTTTTCCAGAACAATATAGCTGAAGTACAAGAATTGCATTCTGAATTAATGTGGAAAGATTTTATAGACCACATCAGTAGTCTTCTACACAGTGTGGAAGTGGAAGTCAGTTACTTTGCAGCTGGAATTATTGCCCATTTAATATCCAGAGGTGAACAAGCTTGGACATTGAGTCGTAGCCAGAGGAATTCTCTGCTGGATGATTTGGTAGGGTCATTTGTGCCAACAAAAGACATTCATAGTGGTTAAACTATGAAAGCCTCATAATGTGGTAAATAATGCAGTGCTAAATAAATATTGTAATCCTTTCTTGTGTGTCTTTTGTCTTCCAGCATTCAGCTATTTTGAAATGGCCAACTCCAGAGTGCGAGATGGTAGCATACAGGTAATTAGTATCATAATTAACAGTAAACCAGTAACCTAGTCTAGAGATCATTCCTAAGAGTCATTCCTACTGGATGCATGTGTTTTCCCTCAGGCACCTCAGTATTGGTTGGTTATTTATTTATTTTGAGACAGAGTTTCACTCCATCACCACAGCTGGAGTACAGTGGCATGATCTTGGCTCACTGCAACCTCCACCTCCCAGGTTCAAGCAATTCCCCTGCCTCAGCCTCCTGGGTAACTGGGATTACAGGCACCAGCTGCCCCGCCTGGCTGATTTTTGTATTTTTAGTAGGGATGAGGTTTCACCATGTTGGCCAGGCTGGTCTTGAACTCCTGACCTCAAGTGATCTGCCTGCCTGGGCCTCCCTAAGTGCTGGGATTACAGGCGTGAGCCACCACACCCAGCCAAAAGTATTGGCTTTAAAAGAAGCAAAGTATTTTGACTTTTTTCTACCACCTATCATACTTCATGTTTCCTTCATTTCACATTTGTTGAAGACAAGTGCTAGGAATTTGTTCTGTGCTCTTGAAATTGAAAGATGAACAACAAAGACTTGGTAGCTGCACACAAGAATTTTATATCCTTGTGAGGGTGATCAAATGTGGATCAGATAAAATACCGTTATGCTAGATGTCCATAGAATGTTATGAAATTAAAGGTGAAGCCGAGTGAGGTAGCACGTACCTGTAGTCCCAGTACTCAGGAAACTGAGGTGGGAGGATCACTTGAGCCCAGGAGTTTGAGGCTGCAGTGAGCTATGACTGCATCACTGCATTCCAGCCTGGGTGACAGAGCAAGACTCCAAATGTAAATACACACACCCCTTTCAGAGGAAGTGAGTTGTGACCTGAGTGTTGAAAGATAAGGAGAGGCAGGAGATTTTTAGGAAGAAAAAGCATTGTATTAATGCAGGAAGGTCTAAAATAAAATGACACATTGAAGGAATTAGAAGATTACCAGATTCTGGCCGGGTGTTGTGGCTTACGCCTGTAATCCCAGCACTTTGGGAGGCTGACGTGGGTGGATTGCTTCAGTCCAGGAGTTCGAGACCAGCTTGGCCAACATGTTGAAACCCGTCTCTAATGAAAAAACAAAGTTAGTGGAGCATGGTGGTGCACACCTGTAATTCCAGCTACTTGGGAGGCTGAGGCATGAGGATCGCTTGAACTTGGGAGGTGGACGTTGCTGTAAGCCGAGATGGTGCCACTGCACTGCAGCCTGGGTGACAGAATGAGACTCTTAAAAAAAAAAAAAAAAAAGGAATAACACCAGATTTGGTTGGGGAAACAGTTTGTAATAATTTATTAAAGTGGGCCGGGCGCAGTGGCTCACGCCTGTAATCCCAGCACTTTGGGAGGCCGAGGCCAACATGGCGAAACCCCGTCTCTACTAAAAAGTACAAAAAATTAGCCAGGCGTGGTGACGGGCGCCTGTAGTCCCAGATACTCGGGAGGCTGAGGCAGGAGAATGACCTGAACCCGGGAGACGGAGGTTGCAGTGAGCTGAGATCGCGCCACTACACGCCAGCCTGGGTGACAGAGCCAGACTCTGTCTCAAAAAAAAAAATAATAATAATAATAATTTATTAAAGTGCATACTGGGCCTGGCATGGTGGCTCACACCTATAATCCCAACACTGAGAGACTGAGGTGGTAGTATCACTTGAGTTCAGGAGTTGGAGACTAGCCTAGGCATCATAGTGAGACCTCATCTCTACTAAAAAATAAAAAGACCTGGGCATGATGGCATGTACCTGTAGTCCCACCACTTTGGAAGGCCAAGGCAGTTAGATCACTTGAGCTTAGGTGTTTGAGACCAGCCTGGACAACACAGTGAGACCCTGTCTCTACAAAAAATAAAAAATTAGCTAGTTGTGGTGGCACATCCTTGTAGTCCAAGCTGCTTGGGAGGCTGAGGTGGGAGGATGGCTTGAGCCTGGGAGGTTCAGGCTGCAATGAGCTGAGATCGCCTTACTGCACTCCAGCCTGAGCAACAGCGAGACCCTGTCTCAAGTAAGTAAGTAAGTAAATAAATAAATGATAAAAATAAATAACAAAAATAAAGAACGTGCATACTGGATGCCTCTTTGTAATTGGATAACTTGATAATTAAATTACTAATTACCTGAAGTATTTAATTTTTATTCAACTCATTTTTTTTGTTTGGTTCTTTTTTTTTTTTTTTTTTTTGAGACGGAGTCTCGCTCTGTCGCCCAGGCTGGAGTGCAGTGACCGGATCTCAGCTCACTGCAAGCTCCGCCTCCCGGGTTCACGCCATTCTCCTGCCTCAGCCTCCCAAGTAGCTGGGACTACAGGTGCCCGCCACCAAGTCCGGCTAGTTTTTTGTATTTTTTTAGTAGAGATGGGGTTTCACCGTGTTAACCAGGATGGTCTCAATCTCCTGACCTCGTGATCCACCCGTCTCGGCCTCCCAAAGTGCTGGGATTACAGGCTTGAGCCACCGCGCCTGGCCTTTTGTTTGGTTCTTAAATGCTGATGTTGCCAACATTTTTTTACTTCCCCAACTTATGTTCTACCTTTTTTTTTTTTTTTTTTTTTTTTTGAGAGGGCCCCCCCCTTTTTACCCCAGGCCGGAATGCAGTGGTGTGATTTCGGCTCCCTGCAAGCTTCGCCTCCCGGGTTCACGCTATTCTCCTGCCTCAGCCTTCCATGTAGCTGGGACTACAGGCGCCCGCCGCCGCTCCCAGCTAAGTTTTTTGTATTTTAGTAGAGACAGGGTTTCACTGTGTTAGCCAGGATGGTCTCGATCTCCTGCCTTCGTGATCCGCCCGCCTTAGCCTCCCAAAGTGCTGGGATTACAGGTGTGAGCCACCGCGCCCAGCACGTTCTACCTATTTTTATTCAGACCAGTAGAAAATAGAAGGGACAATTATACACCTTTTTCATAGTGTTCTGCTAGTTAGTTATCACCTAATTTCTGTATTTCTTAGTTTCCAAACCAAGGACTACTTATCATCAAATGTGTATCTTTAAGACTGAAAAGGTGCTTTAGGAAAAATTTTTTCTCTTTTAGTACCATGTTCTAATCACCTTCCATCTTCTGTACTGAATCATGTCTGAATGCAGTCTTCTCTGAAATGGTTAAGACAAAGAAAAGATATTCTATAGCTCATTTATATTAGTCTAAATATAATAGGATAAAATGTTGAAAATGAAGAGTTTAGGAATCACTGCTTTAGGGAATTACGCTAAGTATGGGATGTAACTTTGATTCTTTTCTTTTGAACCCTTAGGTCCTTTAATCCGTTTTTCCCATTACTTGGATGTTTCACAACACCAGGAGTCCAGCTATGGGCAGTTTGGGCCATGCAGCATGTCTGCAGCAAGAATCGTATGTACCAAAAAAAGAGAGCTGTGTTTTTTTCCTTTAAGTGAAATTCTCATTTCCCAGGAAAGATATTTCTAAATTGTGTATTAAAGTGATTTTTAAGAACACTGACTTAAAGTATAAGGAAATCTTAGGTTATAAACTTAAGGTATTCTTTTTTTTTTAGAGACAAAGTCTCACTCTTGTTCCCAGGCTGGAGTGCAATGGTGCGATCTCGGCTCACTACAACCTCTGCCTCCTGGGTTCAAGTGATTCTCCTGCCTTAGCCTCCCGAGTAGCTGAGATATCAGGCACCTGCCACCATGTCCCGCTAATTTTTGTGTTTTTTTTTTTGTTTTGAGGCGGAGTCTCACTCTGTCACCCAGACTGGAGTGCAGTGGCGCAATCTCGGTTCACTGCAAGCTCCGCATCCCGGGTTCATGCCATTCTCCTGCCTTAGCCTCCCGAGTAGCTGGGACTACAGGCACCCGCCACCATGCCCGGCTAATTTTTTGTATTTTTAGTAGAGATGGGGTTTCACTGTGTTAGCCAGGATGGTCTCGATTTCCTGACCTTGTGATCCGCCTGCCCCAGCCTCCCAGCGTGTTGGGATTATAGGTGTGAGCCACCGTGCCTGGCCTTTTTTTTTTTTTAGTAGAGATGGGGTTTCACCATGTTGGCCAGGCTGGTCTCGAACTCCTGACCTCAGGTGATCCGCCCGCCTCGGCCTCCCAAAATGCTGGGATTGCAGGTGTGAGCCACCATGCCCGGCCAACTTAAGGTATTCTTTTAGAATGAGCATGGTGTAACTAGGCACTGAATGACAGTGGTGAATGAGACACGGTTCTCACCTCAAGGAATTTAAAGATTAGGAGACTACAGTGAGTCCATTTGTTGAGTAAAAGGTCTTAAGTAGTTCCACTGTTTATGGTACATTTCAGTACCCAATTCTCATTCACCCAAAATTCTGTTGTTCAAGATGTCACTCCCAGCACCCATGGTTTCTGAAGAAGCAAAGTGTTTGAATCAGGTTCTGTATTATTCTTTGAAAGCTGCGATGCAACTCTTATTTATTTATTTAGAGACAGGGTCTCTCTCTTATCAAACTGGAGCTGGAGTGCAGTGGCATAGTAACAGCTCACCACAGCTTTGACGTCCGGGCTCAGATAATCCTCCCGCCTCAGCTTGTAGCTAGGACTACAAGTGCATGTCACCATGCCTGCCTTTTGTGTGTGTGTGTAGAGACGGAGTTTCATCATGTTGGCCAGGGTGGTCTCAAACTCCTAGGCTCAAGCGATCCGCCTGCCTCTTCCTCCCAAAGTGCTGGCATTACAGGCGTCAGCCATCAAGCATGGCCTAGTTATTAATATAAACTCATTCCACAAATGATTTGACACAAGAAATACACAGAACCACTTTAATAGTAAAGTGTGTGTGTGTGTGTGTGTGTGTGTGTGTATATATATATATATATATTTTTTTTTTTTTGAGATGGAGTCTCACTTACTTTGTCACCCAGGCTGGAGTGCAGTGGTACAATCTCGGCTCACTGCACCCTCCACCTCCCAGGTTCAAGCGATTCTCCTGCCTCAACCTCCAGAGTAACTGGGACTACAGGCCTGCACCACCACACCTGGCTAATTTTTGTATTTTTAGTAGAGACAGGGTTTCACCATTTTGGCTGGCCTGATCTTGAACCCCTGACCTCAGGTGATCTGCTGACCTCGGCCTCCCAAAGTGCTGGGCTTACAGGTGTAAGCCACTGCGCCTGGCCTATATTTAGTTTTTTTTTTTTTTTTTTTTTTTTTAGGCGGAGTCTTGCTCTGTCGCCCAGGCTGGAGTGCAGTGGCACTATCTCGGCTCACTGCAAGCTCCGCCTCCTGGGTTCACGCCATTCTCCTGCCTCAGCCTCCCGAGTAGCTGGGACTACAGGCGCCTGCCACCAGGCCCGGCTAATTTTTTTGTATTTTTAGTAGAGATGGAGTTTCACCGTGTTAGCCAGGATGGTCTCGATCTCCTGACCTCGTGATCCACCCATCACGGCCTCCCAAAGTGCTGGGATTACAGGCTTGAGCCACCGCGCCCGGCCTTTAGTTTTAATTAGAAGTAAGGAAAAATAGTTTTTCAAAAATTACAGGGGCCGGGCACAATGGTTCATGCCTATAATCCCAGCATTTGGGGAAGTTGAGGTGAGTGGATCGCTTGAGCCTAGGAGTTTGAGACCAGCCTGGGAAACATGGCGAAACCTAGTTTCTATAAAAGATTTAAAAGAAATTAGCCGGGCGTTGTGGTGTGCTTCTGTAGTCCCAGCTGCTTGGGAGGTTGAGGTGGGAGCATCATCTGAGCCCGGACAGTCAAGGCTGCAATGAGCTGTGATGGCACCATGCACTCCAGCCTGGGTGACAGAGTGAGACTCTGTCTCAAAAAGAAAAAAAAAAATTCTAGGATAGAGGGAAAATAGTCAAATGTAGACTTGTAGGCCATGCATAGGGATTTTTGTGGCTCTGCTGCAAGTAAAAAGCGACATAGTTCTCCATATAAGAGAGAAAAAATGTTCTATATCCTTGTCGGGGGAGACAGGGAGGGGAGAGTAAACTTTTTATGAGCAGTTAACTACGAATTAAATTTCTTCTATTGGACATTAATAGGGGACATACTATAAAGGGTCTTATATAGGATATGTGAGAGTTGTTTTTACCGATATCCTTATAGCAGAAGTAGTAACATTTTGTGAGATTTTCTCTTGGGTTTTTTTTTTTTTTTGAGACAGAGTCTTGCTCTGTTGCCCAGGCTGGAGTACAGTGGCACGATCTCAGCTCACCACAACCTCCACCTCCTAGATTCAAGCAATTCTCCTGCTTCAGCCTCCCGAGTAGCTGGGACTACAGGCACGTGCCACCATGCCTGGCTAATTTTTGTATTTTTAGTAGAGGCTGGGTTTCGCTATGTTGGCCAGGCTGGTCTCAAACTCGCCCGCCTTGGCCTCCCAAAGTGCTGGAATTACAGGCATGAACCACCGTGCCCGGCTCCTTCTCTTGTATTCTTTGATGAAAACTCACAGCATACCACAAAAAATCAATGCAGTAAAAGCTCTTCTGTGTCAGATAGAGAAGAGTAATTTGGTGAATGGGATGTGACCGAGAAAGCTGCCTTGTACGCACCTGAACTTCCACCTGGAGGCTTATCCGGCCCTTCCTCCTCAGTTACCCAGAAACAGAGTTGTTCACTCATGAATCGAAAACTGCCTCTTTAGCTACGTTAAACTGTCTCTCCCCTAAAGTCTTTTTCCTTTTACTGTACCCACAGGTTCTGAGGACTCCCGAGTTTCTTAACAGTTGATCCGATAATATTCCCAGTCTCTAATCTATAGGTTCCTTTCCTCATGACTCAAGGAATGGACCTTTCACAGTTCAGTAGGAGAAAATAAAACATAATTAGTAAATAATAGTGCATTTTCAGCTGGGCGTGGTGGCTCACGCCTGTAATCCCAGCACTTTGGGAGGCCAGGGCGGGTGGATCACGAGGTCAGGAGATCGAGACCATCCTGGCTAACACGGTGAAACCCCATCTCTACTAAATATACAAAAAATTAGCTGGGTGTTGTGGCACATGTCTGTACTCTCAGGTACTTGGGAGGCTGAGGCAGGAGAATCACTTGAACCAGGAGGTGGAGGTTACAGTGAGCCGAGATTGCGCCACTGCATTCCAGCCTGGGCGACAGAGTGAGACTCTGTCTGAAAATAATAATAATAATAATAATAATAATAATAATAATAGTTCATTTTTATACAAGTATTTATTTTTGTCAATATTTTTAGGTATTAGTGTTATTTTGATTTTACTCTATGGAATGACAGCCCTGAATAATTTCTTCTAAAATACACTGTAATTTGAGGAATGTTAGAATATTTTGTCTCCAACTCAAGATAGTTTAGGTTCCTACCTTGTGGGCTTATTTTGTTTATATTTAAATGGAATTCACTTCTATTTGTATTAAAATGTTTTAACCTGGCTGGGTGTGGTGGCTCACACCTGTAACCCCAGCACTTTGGGAGGCTGAGGCAGACAGATCACTTAAGGTCAGGAGTTTGAGACCGGCCTGGCCAGCCTCGTAAAACCCCACCTCTACCAAAAATACAAAAATTTAGCCAAGTGTGGTGGCTGGTGCCCACAGTCCCAGCTACCCAGGAGGCTGAGGAAAGAGAATTGCTTGAATCCGGGAGGCACAGGTTGCAGTGAGCCAAAATTGTGCCATTGGACTCCAGCCTGGGCAACACAGCAAGCTGCAGTGAGCCATGATCACACCACTGGGCATGAGCCATGATCACCCCAGCCTGGGTGACAGAATGAGACTGTCTTTAAAAAAATTAAAAAGGCAAAGAAAATATTTCAAAAATTAAAAAATTGTATGTGCAGTATGATTGCCATTAGGTTTTTAAAAAGCATAGGAAATGCGGCCTGGCACTGTGGGTCATGCCTTGTAATTCTATTACTTTGGGAGGCTGAGGCGGGAGGATTGCTTGAGGGCAGGAGTTTGAGACCAGTTTACACAACATGGTAAAACCCCATCTCTACTAAGAATAAAAAAATTAGCCAGGGGTGGTGGCGTGTGCCTGTATTTCCAGCTACTCGGGAGGCTGAGGCACAAGAATTGCTTGAACCCCAGAGGTGGAGGCTGCAGTGAGTCGAGATTGCGCCACTGTACTCGGGCCTTGCAACAGGGCAAGACTCTGTCTGAAAAAAAAAGCAAAAAAAAAAAAAAAACAAAGCATAGGAAATGCATAAAAATATAACAACACTTACCTGTGATTTTGGGTCAAAGATAAGGTAGTTAAGATTGTTTTTATTTTTTTTAATACAGATTGTGTATGTCTTGAGGTTAGAAAAAGCAAGCTAGCTATTTATTGATTGAATGTGTAGGCCTTGCACTGTAGACATAACTCAGTATAGAGGTTTTTATCAAGCTGTAACATGTTAGTGATCAATAACAAAACACCTAAAAAAAATGGCTCTTAGAAGTCATTTTTTTGTGGAATAATTTTAAGTGTTTTAAGAAAAGCTATTTCTCCTGTTTTGTGGTGTTTTTTTTTTTTTTTTCAGCTTCAAGGTATTGCAGCATGCTGATTGAAGAAGGAGGACTGCAGCATTTATACAACATCAAAGATCATGAACATACTGATCCCCATGTCCAACAGATTGCTGTGGCCATTCTGGATAGCTTAGAAAAACACATTGTGCGCCATGGGAGGCCACCTCCCTGTAAAAAACAGCCCCAAGCCAGACTAAATTGATAGCCATAAGTATTGGATAATTGAATTACAGGAATCCTTTTTGTGATTGGTCCATTTGGAATATCTTACCCTCCGTGATGTTTTGGGGGTTTCTATGACCGGAGTCATAAAATCAGTTTGGGATTGGTAATGTATAGTACTGCCCATGTGAACAGTCCCTAATTTGTCTTGTGATTTTTAACTTATGAGTCAAGAAGGGTCTCTTCCTTTATCATTGCCTTTTAGGAAATTTTCCACATCTTTCAGTGTTTGAACTTACTTGTGCTTGAGATTCTAGTTTTATGGTAAAGTTTGCACGAACCCTTAGGCCAGACTTTTCTGATCTCAGAGTCCCTTCCAGTCAATTTGCAGCTTCACATAAGCTGTTGACCTGATTTCTGACACTGCTTCCGTTGTAAATTTTATACTGCTTCTGTATAAAATGGCTTTCTTCTCTATCTGTGTATCTTTTATAAGATGTCCTTCTTAGTGTGAAAGAAGGGAAATGTGGATCATCTTGTGGAAGCTAATCACTGGCAGGAGCCTGGATGGCTGGCGGAAAGATGTATGAGAAAGAAAAACTATGAAAGGAGAACAGAGTGTAGGAACTGGGAATTGCTTTCATGGTGTAGGTTTTAAAATGAGACAGGCTACCCTTCAGGAGTCTACCTCTCTTGAGGCGGTGAGCAGAAGCTTGTTCTCCGTATTTATACCTAGAAGCGTGGACTGCTGCTTCCTGCACAGACTGCTGGTTATTCTCTAGGAATATTTCCCCAAGCACCACAGTATAAAATATTACAGCACTCTGTGTTAAAGACTGTCTACATCTCCATATGTCGTATTGTTGTGAAAATGTGATTTTAAAAAATTATCGCCAGTCAAAACTGGCTATTCTTTTCCTCTATTTCAAAATCATTTTTGTTCAGTGGAATAAACAACATGGTGTTAACCTCTCAGTTAAAATACAATTGACACCAGTAAATTTTGCCATGAAAAGTTAAAATCTCTTGTTCAAAATATGTCTATCTTCTTAATGTATTCATGTTGGAGAAAGTGTCCCCGTCTGCCAAAAATGAAAGAAAAGAATTAAACTCTTTAAGTGGTTAAATGTAATGATTCTACTCGCAGTGCATAACAGCACATATTTTTGATGGATTATTTTTTAGACAATTACCTTTCCTTAAGGTATCTGATACAGTATAGTAAAGAATCACTTATATCAGTAATAGCACTTGGGAGATAGCAAGTCACCAAGAAACTTACTTTTCATTTAAAATTTTATTTTGTGAATAAAGTCAATCTACAATTGCAGATAACCACATTTTTTTTTCATAGATGGCCAGTGTTTTCAATAGGTATTTAAAATGGAATATTTAAATTATAATGATTATTCAGAAGCATTTTAATTTAGAAAGGAGCTAGTTTGTTAGTTCACTGATGACATTTTTTGACAAACATTTTATACCATTATCACAATAATCAGACTTGAATTTTTTTGGAGTTTCTTCATGTGAATGAAAATTGAGTTAGAAGAAAGTAGGTATTTAGGTCCAGATGCAGTGGCTCATGCTTGTAATCCCAGCAATTTGGGAGGCTGAAGCAGGAGGATTGCTTGAGCCCAGAAGTTCAAGACCAGCCTGGGCAACATAGTGAGACTTGATCTCTACCCAAAAAAAAAAAATTTTTTTTTTTTTTTTAATTAGCTGGGTGTGGTGGCGCCTGGGCAACAGAGCGAGACTCTGACTCAAAAAAGAAAGTAGATATTTAGAGTCACTGAAAACCATATTAAATACTGGGTTAATGCTGACTTAATTGGCTTAAGGAATTTTTATAGGTATAAGATAAATTTTCACAGACTAAGTTTATTTCAGACGAAATACAGAATTCTTTTAAAAGGTTTTTTTTTTCCTTTTCTGAATGTTAATGTCTAAGACGAAGTTAAGAAAATGAGATGGCCTGTGGTAGCTTGGAAATTGCTAGATACGTTGACCATTTCCAGGTCTTTTATCTAGTGTAGTTAAGGGAAAGCCTATTTAAGAAGTTTGGCTTCAAGTTTCTGTTCTATGCTGTTAAAGACAAAAGTGCATATTTCTTTACAGGCTAATGCTAGGTTTTTGTCTCTACAAACTTTTTTTCAGAAATGGCTAAAAGTGTACAGAAAACAGTAAATCCCTTCTTTACTCAGAATAACTTCTTAATAGATGAAGCATCCAAAATATTTAAAAGCAAGGGTGGGCGTAGTGGCTCTTGCCTGTAATCCCAGCATTTTGGTGGATCACTTGAGATCAGAGTTTGAGACCAGCCTGGCCAATGTGGTGAAACCCTGTCTCTATTAAAAATACAAAAATTAGCTGGGCATGGTGGCTTTGTGTGCCTATAGTCCCAGCTACTCAGGAGGCTGAGGCACGAGAATCACTTGAACCCAGGAGGTGGAGGTTGCAGTGAGCTAAGATTTTAAGAGACTAAGATTTTAGGAGACTTTCCTACTTTTTTTCTTTTCGTAGAGACAGAGTCTCACTCTGTCGCCTAGGCTGGAGTGCAGTGGCACGATCTTAGCTCAGCGCAGCCTCTTGGGCTTATGTGATCCTACCCCCTCAGCCTCTGGAGTAGCTGGAACTACAGGCTAAATTTCCTACTTTGTAAACATCAGTAGTGGCCAGATATTTCTGAGTCTTAAAAGCAAAATAATTTCTTACATCCCAAATATATAAAAATTTGAGTGCCTTCGCAGTTGGGATGGTTCCTAAAATTGTGTATAGAATTAAGTCACAGAATTGTCTGTAAGGTCCTGAATCTGGCTAAAATACAGTGGATGTATATGTTGGAATTATGAGGCATAAGTGGCCAGTATCTATAGTTAGAATCTACAAGGCCTCCCTTTTGCACCTGTAGACTAGAATGTAACTGTTATTGGTGCCTTTGAGTGTTATCTCTCAGTGGCTTAGAGGTGCTATTTCAAGCACAATTTAGACTAGGGTTGAACCACTCATTGTTCAAATCATTGGTGGGCTCCAATGTAAAATATCACTACATCAGTCCACAAGCAACAGTAAGGAAATCTACTAAAGGCAATGGAATTTGACTTTTTAAGAGTATAGTGATGTTCTAGGGCATAATGAGGAAAATTTTTAAAAAATAGATTATAATAATACATATTGGTATCATTGAGTAAAACAACAGATTTGAGCAAATACAATTAAGGCATTTTATTTTTTGCCTCAAGTAATTATTGCTGTGGTCTTTCTACTCCACAAAATAATTTTTTCTTTTTGCAGTTGAAAATTAACTGCATTAGCCGGGCGCGGTGGCTCAAGCCTGTAATCCCAGCACTTTGGGAGGCCGAGACGGGCGGATCACGAGGTCAGGAGATCGAGACCATCCTGGCTAACGCGGTGAAACCCCGTCTCTACTAAAAAATACAAAAAACTAGCCGGGCGAGGTGGCAGGCGCCTGTAGTCCCAGCTACTCGGGAGGCTGAGGCAGGAGAATGGCGTAAACCCGGGAGGCGGAGCTTGCAGTGAGCTGAGATCCGGCCACTGCACTCCAGCCTGGGTGACAGAGCGAGACTCTGTCTCAAAAAAAAAAAAAAAAAAAAAAAAAGAAAATTAACTGCATTATTAACTAATTAATAAAATAAATCAAGTGGTATAAGGGATTAGTTTACCCTCAAGCCAGTGATTCCGTGGCTACTGATCTTAGTTAGTTTAGGATTTTAAAAAATCGTATCAGACCCCCAGTATCAGAAATTGACTATAAATATTGCCTCTTGTCACCCCAGGATAGTAATGCCTTATGGTGGCACTAGTCACCTTAAGTAGATTACAAATGATGGAGGTGAATAAAGCTGCATGGGAATTTGCTTTCGTGATATGTTTCATTTGCAAACTTCCACATAGTCAGGTTTTATGTTTAAAACCATCAGTTCTATATATCTAGCTTTAAGAAGTTGCCCTTACAGGTGGGACCTTTTGTGTTAACCTGTTTTCTCCCCAGTCATCTTACTTGGCTGTGTTAAATAAATAAATAAATAGAGAGATGGTGTCTCACTGTGTTGCCCAGGCTGGTCTTGAACTCCTGGCCTCAAGTGATTTTCCCACCTCAGCTTCCCAAAGTGCTGGGATTACAGGCATGAGCCATGGCTCCTGGTCTTAGCTGTGTTTTTAATTATGCCATGCATCAACATAACATCGGGCCATCTTCCTATCCCTTTTGAGCACATTTTAATGAAAACATATTTTATGTGCTAAATTAGGTTAATTTACCAGAGATTTAGCTTAGTGTTTTTAAATGCATTACCCCCATAGAACAATGTACAGCAGCACCCAGGGTTGAAAAGAGGTAGCAGGGAAAACAAACTTATACTCTTCGTATATGGTGAAACCCATCCCTCTCCTGCCCTCTAATGGTATGTTTACATTATTTGGTTATTATACAATGTTTATAGTGGTATAAACAGTATTATTAAACTGAAGGCATAAGTTAAAGGAAGTATGTTACTTTGAGCTGATGTAGGCTCTTCCACTTTTATCTGTATTTTACTTATTTGGGGACTTTGTATTGCTAGGGCTTCAGAATACTAACTTTGACACAGCTCCCAGAGAGGTTTGCAAACTTTTAGTTTTCCTCTCAAATCCATGATAGCAGTTTCAGATGAGTTTGTGGATAATGGATGCTTAGTCCTTATCATTTGCTATGTATTGGCAGTTTTTAATTTGCAGTATTCACTCACGAACTGTTTTGTTTTGGAATAATGCAAAACCAGCCTTTGTCCGGTGATGAGAATAGCCGTATGATAAGAAAATTTGCTCATTGTGCTTTAAATGAGTAATTGTTTTACCTTATTTAGTATTTCATAGACTTTGCATGACATGGTACACTCCTAATTATGCATTCTTTGGTTTCCAAATCTTAACCTAAGATACTTTGTTAACTGACTGGTAGCCTAAGAAAGAGACTTTCTTCCTGTTTTTCTCTCTCCCCCTTTTTTGGGGTACATTTTGCAAAGATCAGCGCTGATTTTCATGACTCTAAAGCTCTTTTGGATAGCACAGCGTAACTTTACAGCTAGACAGAATGGCTATTAAGAATATTTCCAGAATCCAAATTTATCAAAATTATTTTGTGGGAAATCATAAATCTACTTGATTAATATTATGTGCTTAATTGTGGACTTATTTTGGGAAAAATTGTTCAAATTGGGTCCTTTTAAGCTTATTTTAAGCAGCCTAGAAGGAAGAAGCTACTTAGCTAATGAAAGCTGAGACACTTTAATAAAGCAGGATCTTAAGAGCATTGTTTTTCCTTAAAAACTTTATACTCTCAGATTATCTGCAACAATAAAAATTAAGAAATTCCTAACTTCTGTAGAATTCCCACTGTCAAATTCTCTCTGACTTATGAGTGTGAGAAAAGTTATCTTTTGTTTGAATTCTGATAGAACAGTTTAACTCCTTTCTAAGGATATAAAAAATTCATTGGAAAGTGTGTATATTTCAAAGACTCTCAATTATCTGGACTGAAGGCACTGTTTTCACTATGACCAGATGAATGGGAGTATTCTGTACAATGAATCATGCTATATTTTAAATCAGGACATCACTTAATTATTAATGTTATGTGTACAGATTTTCGTTTTGGGATTTTTTTTTTTTTTTTTTTTTTTGCCTAAATAAATGTTATAAATTTTATGTAAAGTGTGTCTCGTCTACTTTTATTCTAGACATTTGGCTTTAAAAGTTAATATTAATGCAACCTTCAAATTCCTTAGTGATCCACTTGTAATGACTGCTTTCTGAAAAAGGCTACTTTTACTGGAGAAGTTTTTATTTTTATTTTATTTTTTGAGACAAAGTCTTACTCTGTCACTCAGGCTGGAGTGCAATGGCATGATCATGATGCATGCTACCACACTCCGCTAATTTTTTAATTTTTTGTAGAGATGGGGGTCTCCCTATGTTGCTTCTTGTCCTCAAACTATCCTCTTGCTTCAGCCTCCTGAAGTGCTGAAATTACAGGTGTGAGCCACCACGCCCCGCCTGCAGACGTTTTTAATACTAGAACATCATCCATTTCCTTTTTTGTTTTTTTTCCCCCACTCAGCGATAGCCTTGAACATTAATTTCCTTAAATACCTATGCTAAGTACTATTTAAGTGTTGAACTTATGTAACTTATAAATACTTCGGGAAACTTAAATTTACTGGAGAAGGAATAATTATTAAATAAACATAAATATTGCATAACAGTATATTACAGACTAGTCCTCAGTACTTATAGAGAGAGACCACACCTAATCCAGACTGGACACCCATTAGACAGTCCCAGAAGACTTTCTAGAGAAAAGAGTTGACATTCACACAAAGATTGAGATAATTAACTGGCATAACATATATTGTTTAAGTGCACTTAGTGAGGGGGGATCCTAAAAACTGAAGTATTATATTCTTATATTAATATAAAGACTCCATGGCTGGGAAGAATCCTTAGTGATTTTAGTTTCAGAACCTTCATTTTACAGTTAAAGAAAATAGGTGTGGCTGGGCATGATGGCTCACACCTGTAATCCCAGCACTTTGAGAGGCCGAGGTGGGAGGATTGCTTGAGCCCAAGAGTTTGAGACCAGCTTGGGCAACAAAGACCTCATCTCTACAAAAAATAAATTAGGTCTACAGAGTATTCGGGAGGCTGAGGTAGGAGGATTGTTTGAGCCTGGGAGGTCAGGTACTCCAGCCTGGGTGACAGAAATAAACCCTGTCTCAAAAAAAAAAAAAAAGGTCAAACGAGTTGGTTGAAGTCACATAGCAAGTCAGTGACAGACTGCACTACAATGCCTTTTTTTTTTTTTTTTTTTTTTTTTTTTGAGCTGGAGTCTCACTCTGTCACCCAGGCTGGAGTGCAGTGGCACAATCTCGGCTCACTGCAACCTCCGCCTCCCAAGGTTCAAGCGATTCTGCCTCAGCCTCCCCAGTAGCTGAGATTACAGGCATGCACCACCATGCCCGGCTAACTTTTGTATATTTAGTAGAGACAGGGCTTCACCATGTTGGCCAGGCTGGTCTTGGACTCCTGACCTTGAGGTGATCTACCCGCCTTGGCCTCCCAAAGTGCTGAGATTACAGGCATGAGCCACTGTACCCGACCTGGCATAACTTTCACAGAGAATTTAAAGTCTGTTGTGTAACAGCCTTTAAAGTAGCATTTTCTGTAGAGCCTATTATGAGGGAGATAGTTCTAATTATTGCCTTTTCTATTCTAAACCGTGGAAAAAGGACCTAACAAATGATGTCCTTGTAGAACAGTGAAGGCCTCCTGGCAGTGTTCTCTTTAATCCATGATGTGGGTTAAGCGGAGTTTTGACTGATTATGAGGCAACATATGTACCACTAAAGTTTATCACCTACATTGGGCCTTCATCTCTTATCTATTAAAGTGTAAGGTTATTCATGTAAAAGGCCGCCTGTAAAATCCTTCACAAATAAAAGTATACCCTATAAGTGCACATAACAGACCCTCTTTTCATTTCTATTGTTCATAGAAGCATAAGCAAGGAAAAAATATTCAAAGATAAGAGTCTCGTGATAGAGGTCTTCATCTGTGATCTTGGGAAAAGCTGTTCATATCAAGGATGCCATCTTCTTCTGGGGAGAAACGTTTCTAGTCAGTTTTACCTTAAGGGTTCCAGTGGGTGTACTGTTCCAGGAGTGTGGAAGGACCCTTTTCAGTTGTGAGATTATGAACCCAAGGTTCAAGGCTCCAGAGTTTTGCTGTAGTATGGACAGCAAGGACAGTCTTTCTCTGATGTTCTCAGAAGATCCAGTCTTCTAGGCCAGGCGCAATGGTTCATGCCTGTAATCCCATCACTTTGGGAGGCCGAGGTGGGTGGATCACCTGAGGTCGGAAGTTCAAGACCAGCCTGACCAACATGGAGAAATCCTGTCTCTACTAAAAATACAATATCAGCTGGGCGTGGTGGCGCATGCC